AATTATGAAAAAAAACTTCATAATCTAATCCTAATATGGAGCAGTATTGAGTGACGGTGATTAAATGACCATAATTTGGTGTTGATGGTCCATGGACCAAAGTCAGAGGATGGTGATCAATGGATTGTAATCAAGCGATAGTGTTTGAAGAATCATAGTTAGGTGATGGTTATTGTATGATTATAGTTAGACGATAAAGATTGGAGGATCATAATCGAGCGACTATAGTTAGCAAGCCAAAAAAGACTTAATTAATTAGATATCATTTTTCCATTATTTAGTGATAAATTTGGTTTGAGCAAACTAAAGAGTAAAACGATAATAGTTATGTAGTCTTCATCTAAATCAACACAAACAACAGTTTATTCGACATAAACCTCTTTTCTATTCAATTAGTAACATGACTTATATCTTCGCCTCCATCATGCACTCCATTCTATATGTAACTCAAAAGCATCTTAATATGACATTATTCACTAAATATTGAGAATGGTACCAACATCAAGTTCCATACCCAAACTTATTTTAATAATGATGGTCTAGAACGATATACCTAGGTATTTCCTAAATAATTCCTAGTTTGCATAATAACACTTCTGCTTATACCAATATTTTTTTTTTTTTAAATAAGGATGGTCTAGGTTGATCTTCCTAGGTATGGCCTAAATAGATCTTAGTCTATATCATAGCCCTCCCAGTAGTTTAGCACTTTAGCTGCTCAATTATTATATAATTTACTCAGGATATATATGCTTGACTAGTCATGTCAACTCCCCAGAATCTTTATTGAAAGAATTGAATATGTCTTTCATTTAAGCATTTAATTAGAGTTTATCAATTTCTTGTGAACATCCAAAAATATATATATGTTATCCAGAGCCTCATATCATAGGATCCTTGCATTTATTATAAATAATGTAAAACTACATAATTAGTACATAGTCAAGCAAGTAAACAAAATATTACAACTGAAATCAATGCAAGGTAAAAGAGAACAGTATGTTGCAAATCATATAAAAAATGTATGCATAAATGTATATATATATATATATATATATATTATATATATATATATATATATATATATATATATATATATATCGATTATCTAATCAACAATAAGTATGAAGAGATGCATGTAGGCATAAAGAGATGGTTGATGAAGGTTTAAGTTTTGCAATGAAGTGTGGAGCTATGAGTTTATGATTGTTTCTTACAACTATTGAGCAGGTCGAAAGCTCATATAAGTGATTTAGGGTTTATAATAGAATGAGATGTATATGCTTGAGATTCAACGTGGGGTTTATACATTAAACTAAGAATAAAGAAATTTCCTTAAGTAGAACTCAATTTCATTCATTAACATCTAAAATATGATAACATCTTGATATTTAAGTCAAATGCAATATAATTACAATTAAAAAAAAAAAAAGAGGATAATTTTCTATTGAGTTTCATCGGTTTCTTGCTTGACATTCATGAAGTTGGTAGTTTCTTTTTTGCATGGCATCCATAAAGTTAGTGAGTTCAATTATGAAGAATTGATTTCTTTATTTTAAATTTATCTTTTTATTTTTTGGTTGACATTCTGAATTTGTAGTCGGCATTGACGGAGAGCTTTCGTTGCTTTTTTAAATTTTTAAAATTTTCAATAAAGGGTCCGCTCTCACTTCACACCTTTTATTTAATGTTTGAAACCAATAACATGGTGATAACATCATTCAAATGCCATTAACTAACGACATCATCTTATTGTCATCATTGTTTATATCTTGCAATCATGGCATCTTGATATGACATTAAGGATTAAGATACCACACTTGCAACTATAATATCCTCTCTTTGCTCCTCATCATACATCCTCTTTTCATTCTTTCTCAACATGATCACTCATACCAACATGATATGTTATAATGCCATAGCATCCTCATTATCATAATTCACCCCTACATGTGTTATTATCAAACCACCATCAGTATCCCTACTTCAAAAATTATTGTCATCATACTTATAATAGCTCTTATTTTAATTCAATTAAATAATTTTTATCTAGAGTCAATATAGGTCCAAATCATAAATCCTTTTTTTTCATAGCATAGATAATGTAATGTTTTAATTACATGAATACTTTCATAATTTTTTGGCACAGGTGCAAATTCTTAAGAAATTGACACATGTCAGTATAAGTGAAAATTTTGAGACCGGCCGTTAGGTATCCGTTTTACAAACTTATTTCACCAAAAATTTTTAAATAAAATAAACTATTTTATGGATTATAATTATAATTTTTTATGTCCTTAAAAAATTATATAAATTTTAAAATGAAAATTAATTAAATTATATAATTATATTAATATTATATTATTAATTTTTCTTGAATTAAATATTCCTAAATATCTAATTCAATTATCATAAATCATTAAAAAGCCATTCTGCTTTTTAAATTAGGCTAACAAAGAAATGATTTAGGAAATTAAGAAAGAAAGTGAGGAGATATCTAGAGAAAAAAAAATAGATTTGAAGGTTATGGTGATATTTTTGGCACCCGGTAATCCTTTTAAGAGATTTAGTAGTCTCGCTGCAAGGAATTATTACCCTATTTTTTTTTGAAAATTTTATGTTTTTGATATTTTTTTATCAAATTTTATTATTATTATTACCGAAAAATGAGGATGATTTTATATTGGTAAAACTTTTTACGCATAACTTCTATGTTATAGAGTTTTAGATTATGAATGTTTTGATAATTTATTTAAGATTTTTCACATGGTAATTTTGAAAATATAACAATTTTTATCAATTTAGATATTTATTTTAACATCTAAAAATATTGCTTTAATTCAATTAAAGTTTTAGAATATTATTGCATACAATCTCTAGTAATTTGATAAATTTATGAAATGTGAACTTTTCTTATTATGATTTTCTATTGCATATAATTAGGTCATTTTGGCACTTTCTAAATTAAGCCTAATTATATTTGATTTACTAGTGCATTAAAAAGGAGTGTGGATATGTGGTTGAATAATAGCTGATCACTATATTATTAGTATGATAATGTGATAATAATGTGTGTGAGAAAAAATAAGTAAAAACTAATTATTCCCTGATGTTGGCTAGATACTGATTGACTTGTACATGATGGTGGACCAACAGACTTTTCTTTAAATATGTAGTTTGGTGTTATCCTCGACCGATTCATATGATATATTGATTGTGAGTTATAAGGAGATGATTATTGCGCCGATGAGTAAAGAGTGATGACTCTATTTACTAAGCCAGCAGTTTACTGACATTGATTCGATACTAAAAAAATATTGATTAAGCCATAACTTCTTACTTGTTTAGTGTGACATATTGAGCATATGATTAAGATACTTATTTAATATTTATATATAATAATTGGATAGCATGTATACATAATTATGTAATTTTACTATATTGATATAATTTTGACAGTCTTTATCCATGCTTTGATTTTACCACTTTATATGATTTTTTATTGATTGATAATACTGATACAACGCCTGGTTTATAAATTTGACATTCATACTAATCTACTAGCTTACATACCATATTATTTTAATGTTTATAAATTATATTGCTATTGTATATGAGCTTTACTGTTTTTGCACATATTCATGATTACATAAATATTATTATTATGATTTGACTACTGACATGTGTATTACTCATTTACCTTGTGTTGAGTTCAATTATAGGATTTTTTACTTAATGGGCTCTTGAGCTAATTATATATGGTTAAATAATTTCAGGTCATGACAAGATAGTAGGAGTATGAGATTGATCAGGATTCCTTCAGGTTCATGTTCTATTTATTTTAGCTATATTTTTGTACATAGGACAGAGTATTTATGATATGATTGTATAAATCCTGAGTAGTATATATGATATTTAGAGAAATGAATATAGATGTATGTATATATTTTTTGAATACTAAATTTATTTTTTGTTGTTTATTTCTGATAAATGAAGTTAGATAACTCTGATGTTCTTTATAAAAAAAATTTTAAAAAAAAATTAATTCTTCCAAATTAAATTTTAGGACATCAAAATACGTCCTCTTAAGATCGCCATCCTTGCCGTCCATCATTTTTGTTGCTATCTCATATACTTGCAATGGCTCCCTATAATATTTATATCATCATCCTTGATCACCACACATTTTTATCCAAGAGCAATGAATGCCAATTTTTTATCACCAATCAATCATCATTATTACTCATCTTGTCACTTCTACCCTCCATCCACATCGTTGAAATAATAGCAGCAAAATCATACATCTTCATTCGCTCTTCAATTGCTTTTTCCTCTAGTTGATAATCAATCTCCATAAAAGCTAATCATCATAATTGATTTTATTTAATAAAAACTATGTATTAATCAGCAACTTGATAATAGATTTTTTTTTTTTTTGGGAAATTAACTTGATAATAGATGGCTCCTACTTGTTCTTACATATTATTTTCTTATTTTATTAATAACCATTTTTTTACTGGAAATTAAATAAAATTTAATATAGCAAATTTAAAGTTCTATTTTAGTATGCTAACTTTTAAGCTGGCTTATAATTAAAAATTAAAATCCCTTAATTCTTATAGTTTTTTAATAATGAGCATCAAAATATAAATATTAATAAGATTTGTATAAATTAATTCAGCAAGAAAACTAAGTTCTTATTTGAAAAAAAAGGAATATTTTATTTTGTTTTATAACATAATAGAAATAATTTATTACATATATTCTTAATTTTATATATCATTTATTATATTTTAAATATAATTGAATTATTACAAATTAATTTGATAATATTTGCTTTTGAAATTTAATTGTATTAAAAAAATTATATAGTATATAAAAGCAAAGAATTCAAATAACAAAACATTATAACATTTTATTTTTCTTAGATGCTCCTCCCTCAAAATTACCCTTCTATAAATAAATGCCTCTGCTCCTTTAAAACCCAGCGAGTTGGCTACTTCTCATTTCTCTCGACTTCATCGTTCTCCGGCCAGTTTCTCTATCCCAGAGAAATCTTCTTAGGGTTTAGCCTTACATTCATCTAGTGTATGGCAGTGAAGTTTATGTCTTATGAGGTATCCGATCTCTGCATCGGCAAACCAGCTCTGAGAGCGCTACCGATCTCCTCCACAGTCGGCGAAGCACTCCTTGCCCTCAAGCAATGCGGTGATACCTATGTTAGCGTGTGGACCTCCGAGCGATCGGCACCGGTGAAGAAGGCCTTTGCCGGAAAACTCTGCATGGTGGACATTCTCTGTTATCTCTGCGCGGAGGAGAACATCTCGTCGCCGGTCGCCGCCCTCAAGAATCCCATCTCCGCCCTTCTCTCTAAGGGGATGGCTGCCCTCATGCGCCGTGTCGAGTCGCATTCAAGGTATTATTTTGGCCTAAGCATTGACCGTGCTTTGATTGAATTTCGGAGTTGATAGAATTCCGAATCCGGTTTATTACTAAGTTCGGATAACCTATTTACGCGGTAAAATTCTTTTCTTCCCAGATTAGTTCTGGTTGTGATTGGATGTCACGGATGCGATTTTCCCCCTAAAATGTTTTTTAAATGAAGTGGTTGAGATTCTTCCTCCGTCCTAAGGGAGATCTATGATTCATCAAGGCCACTTCCATAAACTGAACATGTTTTTCTTTTAACTTGTTTTCCAAATTTTGCATCTTAGAATAAGGATTCTGTGCATAATCTCCTGGTTTTAGGTTATGTATAAGCGGATCATTATATTTTTTTCCAATTCGTTTTGTCAAAGTTGTTTCATCTGAAAGCTGCTTCTTTTAATAAAAATCCAAATGTTGTTTTTTTTTTTTCTATGAACAGAGTTCTTGATGCTCTGAACCTACTCCTGGAGGGTGCGCATATCCTCTGGGTCCCCATTCGTTCAGTCGCAGGCCGCAAGAAGCTCGGCGGCAGCTCGGGGGAGTTCTGCTGGTTGACGCAGGAGGACTTCGTCCGCTTCTTCTTCAACTCAATCGCGATCTTCTCCCCCATTGCCGCCCTTTCCGTGACCGAGCTTGGCCTCGTCCGCTCCGCCGATGTGCTTTCCGTCCATTACCACGACGCCGCCCTTTCCTTCCTGCCTCTCATCCGCCGCGCGCTCGTCGACCAAACCTCGGTTGCGGTGGTGACCGACGACCACAAGCTCATTGGCGAAATTTCCCCTTCTACTCTCGCCGGCTGCGACGAATCCGTTGCCGCCGCCATCGCCGCCCTCTCAGCCGGCGATCTCATGGCTTATATTGACTGGTGCGCCTCCCCGCCAGACGCTGCCGTGCGGACTGTGAAGTCCATACTGAAGGAAAAGGGAATGCAGGGGATGCTGGAGCTCATGGAAGGGGAGCTCTCGCCACCAATGTTTTCTTCATCGTCTTCGACTTATTCGGCTTCCTCTTCTTCCGACGAAGAAGGGGAGAAACTAAGGAGACCAAGGAGGGCCAGGTGGATGGGGAGCTACTCAGCGAGGATGGGGCGTAGGTCGGAGGAGGCCATTGTTTGTCATCCGGGGAGCTCGCTGGTAGCTGTCATGGTGCAGGCATTGGCGCACCGTGTCGGGTATGTGTGGGTGGTGGAGGAGGACTACAGCCTCGTCGGCATTGTTGTGTTTCGCGATATTCTCGAGGTTTTCCGTGAACAGCTAGTTCAGGCTGAAGAGCTCGTCTAACAGAGAAGGAGAGAGGGAAGTGGGAGTTCGAGAATTCTATTGTTATTTTCCATGAGAACTCCCTCTAAGCTTTTCTCTCGATTAATCTCCTTCAAATTTAAATTTTGCGTTTGGATTTCAAGTAAAGGAGAATGTTGAACTTGTTTTGGGTTTGTGCTTGTTAGGCTCACCGCTTTATTTAAGGGATTATTGGTTTTCAAGTAATATTGCAAATAGAATTGAGAAATGGGAGCTAATAAATATATAAGCTCGTGCAGTTATGGAGCTCTCTCTGATAAGGTATTAAATGTGTACAGATTTGCCACTTTATGTACGCAGTCTATAGTTATTGGCTTGCAGGCTTACAGCCTTGATTGTGTATTCAATTATTATTATTATTTTTAGATTGTGAGCGAATTCAATCATTACCAAGTTTTTTTTTTTTTAGTCTCCGAGACTCAAATACTTGCACAATTTATATGTGAGACTAGAATTCAGGATTAATTATTTTTGTGAGTACGTCGAATGTCAAGCGGATATCAACTATAATGCGCTACATCACCTCTTCTATGTGCACCGCGGCTTGGTATCACTGACGTTGTTGCATCTGATTCACCTTCGGACGTAGAGTTGTGTCCGTCCTACGCTCTTGGGCACTAACATCGCCGGTATAGCACAAAGGTTGAAACTAGGTCGGATGAACCCTTTTGTTAATAACTCCCCACTTGACGCCTTAGTTCAGTGTGCTTGTCAGGTCTAAGCTGATATGGGGCTGATTGGGCAGGGCAGCTCCCGACTCTAGATCCATAGCATGTTGTATGTCATGTAGAGGTGGTAGACTGGTGGGAAGTTTCTCCGCCCAAATGTCCTTAAATTCATTGAGTAGTGGCTGGATCTCAGGTTGAATAACCTCCTTCAGCTTTTTGTATGGCATGTTGTCATTTGGTTTGGTTGATTAAATGTTGATCAAATGGTACTCCTTGATTGGTGTTTAGTGGCATTAGCACAATTGGTTTCCCATCTTGAAGTAATGTGTAAGTGTTAGAGGTTCCATCATGAAGGGTCTTCCTGTCAAACTGCCACGGTCGTCCCAACAATTGGTGACAGGCATCCTTTGGAAGTATGTCACACAACACTTGATCTTTAAATTGACCAAAAGAAAATTGAACAAAGCAGCATTTAGATACAATGTCATTGCCCTGTTGAATACAAGAAAGTTTGTAAGGTCGAGGATGAGCTTATGTTTGCAGCTGCAATTTTTCCTCCATAATACAAGAAGCAACGTTCTCACAACTACCACTATCCATAATGACTTGGCACACCTGGTTATTTATTGTACAAATCATTTGGAAGAGGTTTTGTCTCTGAGCCCGCTCTTCCTTTAGACCACTAAGCAATCTTCTAAGAGCTAGGAGGACTCCATTATCCACGCAAATGATCGTAGGATCGGTGGGGGTCCTGGCTTCTGCTGGTTTGATTTCTTCTTGTGAGGGCTCGTTGGAGACCACCTCATCTTCTTCAATCACTGTGGGACAATTGGACACAATATGCTCGAATCCTTGACAATTGAAGCACTTCCGAGCATCTGTTCCACCTGTAGGAGTTGAAGGGTTGCCCAGGGGCGTCCTAGAAGATTTTCTTGCGAACCATGTGGCCTTTCTTGTGAAGTGGATTCTCTGCTCCAATGGGGCGGTAGAGTCTTTTCCCCAGAAGCATCTCTAGTTTTGAATTGTGTTGGCTTAGGGAATTTATGTTGCCTTTAAACTTTAAGTGCCAAATTGATTACATCTTGAAGCGTCCAATAGGGTTGTAGTTGGATCACATAAGCGATAGTAGTTTGAAGACCCTCTAAGAATCTTGTGATTGCGTTTTCGGCCGGATCATTAAGGTCACATTTCAACGAGAGTTTCTCAAATTCCGCCACATACTCTATAGGGAGTTGATATTGTTGGAGGCGATGTAGTCTCAAGAACTGATCTTCTCAATATTGATCAGTGATATATTTACGATGAAATTCTTTTTTCAACTTATTCCAGCTTGTGATCTTGTTCCGACCCTCTCATGCTCAGGTATGCTTCAAATTTTCCCACCAAAGGGAAGCGCTCTTCTTCAGTTTGATGGCCACCAGCTTAACAATCCTCTCGGCATGTACATCTTTGAAGTCAAGAATTCATTGTACTATATACAGTCAGTTCAAGAACTCATCAGAATCTAATCTTCCTTCAAATTATGGAAGTTCGATCTTAATACCGATATCATCTCTGAAAAGTGGGTGGCCTTGCATTTGTCTCATGCGAATGTCTTCTTCTCCACTAGATGTTTCTTGGTGAAACGGATTAACATTTTCTTCTTCTTGACGACTGTCCGCATCTTATCAATCTCTTCTTGCCCGTTCTTGTTGCAATCGTTGGATTTCTCGTTCCAGGTCTTCAACCACAATGTCACGAAGGGGGTGTTGGCGATTCCTTCGTGGCGACATCTTGCCAGTTCTGATATCAGATGACGTCGAATCTACCGCTTGGAACTCGACGACAGTAGACATGTTCCGCCAAAGCTTCTCCTCTAATTAAAGGGCTTCTGTTTCCTTCACTTGTGCTTCACCGCCTGAGAATAAAATCTCCGAATACAGGGCCTAGGTGGAAAAATAGGGGAAAACCAAATCTTTGTGCAAAACTCATGTAACGTTTATTCAACAATCCATTGTAAATATATATACACGTATCTCATCCTAATGGCTACATGGCAGCAACTTAAGTGGCAATACAAAGCGAATGTTTGAGGGCACTGGACGCAACAAAGATTATTTTAATATTTTTTTAAAAAAATACATCTATTTTTTAGCATATTTTTATTTTTAAAAATTAATGAAATTATTTAAAATTATTTTAAAAAATTAATTTTCACAAATGCCTGTCACCAATGCATATCATTGTGCCTTCGAGGCTTCGATCACCTATCACTTTCATGCTCTTTTGTATTCATTGTTTCCTTGCTGGCTGGCAAGTGCTGTATAAATACATTTATTTAAGTTGAATAAAATATAATTAATATAACATTAATAAAATTAAAAATTAAAAACTAAAAAATTAAAATCCCAGAGGATACCTAAAGTTAAGGGCGAATTATTGCATCCGGTCACCTGACAAAGAACGGATCTCTCTCTATCTACAGCAAAGCGCATGTAAAGCGCAGGTATGCTACAGTACCTGCGCTTTTAGTGTAGACAAAGAGAGATCCGAACTGTCAGATGAGCGGATGCAATAATTTGCCAAGTTTAAGAGACCACAGACATCATCATGCTTTTAGCTTTTTATTATTATTCAAATGTAGGGAAAGCACGTCGTGTAAGGGTCCTAAGGGCCATAGTGGACCTGCTGCTTTTTTTGGAAATTATGGTGGACCTGCTTTGTCCAGTTAAAAGGTGAGACTCCATATGATAATTGGATGTTGGAAAACCGAAAGCATTGAAGTAGACGGTCCCTCTGCAGTTCCTCCTCTCGGCCAGTTCCGTCAGACATGTACTAGGTGTGGGTTACTCGTCTGGGTCAGCTGAGGAGACTAGTGGATATCATCAAGCGCATAATAAGCTGATGTGACAGTGGACCGATACTCACCGTTCAAAAAAAAAAAAAAATCAGACATGTACGTTGAGCAGAAGATGTTGAGGAGAAGATGGTGACATGCAGTTGAGCGTCCAAACATAATAGAGAAGAATTAGATATTCATTTGTGTCAATGTGAGGAGAAATTATTCTCTATCCTGAACATCCTAAGGTGAATTAGGATGTATCATATCATATGTTATAAAGCTTTATACAGGATCGATACATAACAAAAAATAATAATATGGCACATCTTGATAATCATAGTTCCTCCTCTCCAGTTCCATCAGACATGTACGTTGAGCAGAAGATGGTGGCAGTTAAGCATTCAAACATAATAGAGAAGAATTAGATATTCATTTGGTGTAGGTCACCGATGGTTCGGAGACAAATTAGGATGAATCACATCATTCGATAAATAACGATACCCAGCATCTAGGGGTGTCAATTTCGGGTCACGGGTCGGGTTCGGGTGGAACCCGAAACTGACCCGGCACTATTCGGGTCAACCCGAACCCGACCCGTTTTTAAAAACGGGTCGGTTTCCTTGACCCGAACCCGACCCACTTCGGGTCCGGGTCAACCCGACCCGACCCGAATGACCCGTTTTCAACCAAAAAATTGCTAATTTTCGGGTCAAAAACGGGTCAATCTCCTCTTTTCGGGTCAAAATCGGGTCAAAGTCGGGTCAATCTCGGGTTGGCGGGTCAAAATCGGGTTTTCGGGTCAAAATCAGGTCACTTTCGGGTCAATTTCGGGTCAAAGGGTTAACCCGAACCCGACCCGATTTTTGAAACGGGTCGAAATGTTGAACCCGAACCCGACCTGTTTCGGGTTCGGGTTGACCCTAACCCGAAATTTTCGGGTCGGGTTCGGGTCGGGTTTTCGTGTCGTGTCAAATATTGACACCCCTACCAGCATCGGTACATAGCTAAAAAGCGAGTTGCAGCAATCTGATTCGCCTATGAACGGAGTCCGGTGAATGCACAGAATAATTTCACCACTATGTGACTGGAATGTAGATTTCATAATATGTAGGAGAGATTATTTATTTCTTAAAGTGAAGAATTTTTTTTTTTTTGGATGTCCAAATTACATTCCCGGTTTCTTTTTTGATTTGGTCTTAGCTGGTTAATCAAGTTCTAAATGTTGGATTTATTTTGATATTTTAAATATAATTTTTAGAGAAGATGATTCCCAATCAATTCTTTGATTCAATGATGCAATTACTTTATTTATTATTGGATTTCTCAATTATTTTGTTGATCAATTATTGGGAAACTTTTTTTTATTTTTAGTTGATTATTATTATTTTTGTTGAAAGTATATATTGAGATAATGATCTAAATGATCCTCAATTATTTAAAAGTTTAATTTTAATTCCTTATTTTTTAAAATTGAGATATAAAAGATTCAATAAATGGACTGATTTAATTCATATTTAAAGAATGAAAAGATCAAATTATATTTTTTATAGTCAGTGATTATTTTGATCCTTAAAAAAAAAAGTTAGTAATTCAATTATTTTCTAGTTCTATATTATTTCGAATAGAGTCATATT